TGAACGTAACTTTGCTCTACGGATTTACATTTGGGCGGGAACGTATTCGTCGTTAAATTGTCTTTAACTCTCACATTTGCTACTTGTTATTATTGTTGCTTCAAGCTTAGGTGTTACTATATACTTTATGTACCAATATCATTATAAAGTTTAATTACATTTTATAAAAAAAAGCTGGTCAAGTGAGTCCTACGAAAGGTTTCGTACCATAATCGATTTTTTTTAATTGGCACGGTGGCCGTTTTGAAATTCACCATCTTGGTTTTTTTATTACTTGATGTAATAAAAATACACACTATGTAAAAATTTCAACTTTTTACCTATTACGCTTCATGAAATACAGTCCGTTGACACACAGATGGACGGACAGCGGAATCTTAGTTATAAAGTCCCGTTAGCATCCTTCGGGCATGGAACCCAAATATTAGGACAATCGTCGCAATGAAGATAAAGGTTGTAGTGCGTGCTTAGTTTACAAAATGTATATATTTTCTTGATTATTATTATTAAGAAGATACATACATAGGAACAATCGTTACTTTCCGGTACAATTTATATGTGTATTATAATATTATCATGCTACAAAATAGCAATGATATAAATTGATTTCCGTGATTGAATCACCATAAAATCCGTAATCTATATCTTAGTAGGTTTGAATGCTGCCATTTCATCTATTGACTTGGAGAATTCATTGTTTCAATAAAATACACGTTAATATTTAAATTATTGTTCCTCTGTTATAAATGGGGAAGTTTGTATGTGTTTGTATATCTGTTACATCTTCACTCTGAAACAACTGGATGGACTTTTATAAAATTTTGTTAACAGATAGACTAAGAGTTGAAATAGCATATGATCAATTCAGTAATCAAATTTATCAAAAGATGGCGCTGTCTGTATATAATAATATAAATAAAAGATAAAAATATTAATTACAAAAACATTAATAAATTACTCAAAGCAAATAAATAGCGGCAATTTTCAATCACTAGGATAAATTATAGTTGTCACGTCAATCGTATTTATATGCAGCGTGCTCGCACCACGACGCGGGCAGCATAGTTTATGACGCACGTATATTTGCTAAGGCTAATTTACGCGACAAATTAGCATTTTTGGTCTGTCGAAATAAATCTATAACTATTTATACATTGGCGTGTCATATCCATTTATTGGATTTATTCGTGCCATAGGTGTTCTGACAATGTTACAATGTAATGGACGTTTGTATGAGTATGCGCAGTTGAAATATTTTATTTTCTCACGTTTGACGATGAAATTTTTTGTAATTTTTTTTGATCGTCTTAGGGTTCCATTTTTTAAAACGGATCTAGTCGAAACCCTATTACAAAACATAAACTATGCCTCCGTCGCACCTTCATAAAGTTACCCGGTACCCTTTGAGTCGTAGCACTCGTGGTAGTCATATTAGTAGATATCCAGTTTTATTTCCATACAATGCTATTCAAACAAATATTATAAATTCAGAAATTAACAACATTCAACATACTTGAGATATAAATCCGAAAGTAAAACAATTAGTAAAAATGTGATGAATTATGAATTGGATTCACGCTAAAGGTTTCAACTGTCCCATTAAAAAGTTATGATTTATTGGTCAATACGTTACACAAATTATTATGTGATGATTCAGTCCGACTCGCACCACCTATTTTTTTATATTATAGAAATAACAAAGGTTTCATGGTATATAATATGGTTATTATATTGCACTCCAGCCTCTGTTCCTTGAGGTTATCAATACAATACCATCGCTTATTTTAAGAGTTTATTTTCAAACTACGGTTGATTAGGTACGTATGTTTCCTTATCTATACAAAAAGATAAAATTAAAGCGAAAAATTTTAAACTGTAGATGCTTAAAAAGAAATTTTAAGCAACTACAGCTTAAAATTTCTTTTATTAAATTGTAATTTAAATATTATTTCAGATATTATAATAAAACTATCTTTTAGGATTTTTTTGGCGGTTTTATTTGGATTTTTGGTTCCCGACGTTTCGAATGCTTTACAGCAATCACGGTCACAGGAGAGACTAAGGCTTTATACGTGTCAAAGGTAATTATATAGTTGTTACTTGTTACAGATGTTAAATTGTGGGTAGACTGTCTGAGACCGGTAGTATATTTATAAAGCACTTATAGCTAGTTCTTGCTTCTCTTATGTGCGTTCCTAACGATAGCTTTTATGTTACACCAAGTCAAAGTACATATATCTGTGTAATAGATTTCATCCAAATTCGTTCAGCCGTTTAAGCGTGAAGCGGTAACAAACAAACAAACTTTTGCATTTATATTCTAGACTGATTTCTCTGTCTAAAGAAAAATTATACTCATTTACGTATGTTTTTTTAAGCTCACATTTCTCACATTTAGTTTGCACTATATGCAGCGAGCTCGACTGTCACGTTGCAAGCATTCAAGTTTATGTCACGTACATACATACGTATGTTACATGTTGGAGCATTCGTAATAAAATTTCAGGAATGAGAAACAACTCTAAAACTTCATTTTAAAACTGAATAATTTTATCTTGATTAACAAGAATTTTGTTTGAAGATGTTTAGAAATTTCAATTTCTGATCCTGCTTTTAAAAAACATAAAAAATATCGTTTTTTACACAAAGTAATCCCTTTTGTTGTGAAAGGTTTTGAATTTTGTTAAATGTAAAAAAAAACAAATTATTTTTATAAAAATTTTGCTACCCTTTTCCAGCGCCTTAGGATTGACCATTAAAAAAAATAAAATATATATTTCATTTACATACTAGATGAATTCTTATTTATTAAAAAAAAAACAAATAAAAGCTCCTTTAAAATGTGTCCTAGTAATGTATAATTTTTAACAGATATCCAAAACGGAGGAGGTTCTACATCTAGACTTGTTATATGCAAGCAGGTATTCATATTCTAACTATATCTGGTGGTTACACGATATAAAGAAATTAATATGTTGGGCCATTTTTAATTAACACACACCACCTTCTAGTTCCATGGTAAGCTACGTGCCTTGTGTTATGGATACCAGATAGTTTATACACTACACATATACAACTTTAAATATATACATATTATAAATATAAACACCCATGACTGGGGTACAAACATTCGTGCTTATCACACAAATGAATGCCCCCAGCGGGACTCGAACCCTCGACCGCTGGCACAGCAAGTAGGGTCACTACAAACAGCCAAGCCGTCGTCAGAACAGATATCTTAATTACTATTAAATATATGATAACAGGTATGAGTATCGTATTAATTAGTTAATTCTCATGGATTTGTATTTCACAGTTAAATGGCAAGCTTTCACTTAACAGCCTATTTACAGAATTCGTTTAGTTCCAGAGCGGAGCAGTTTTGAAATTAACAAAAGTTTCTCGCTAATTGAAGCTTTTAAAAGTCCAATTTCATAAAGGATATTGTTATTGTTTTAATTGTGCATTATAAGTAATTGAAATAATTGTAACAAGTATTTAATTTTATTTTGTTTTAAAAGCTGCATATTCATTTATATATTAAGGTATAAAAATGTATGTATTTCTGTCTGTCTGGTTTTGAAGTTTGTATTTTAATATAACTATTATAATGAGACAGAATTTGTTTGTTTGAACGCATTAATCTCAAGAACTATTAATCCTTTTTAAAAATTTACTTTTACATAGATAGCCCGTTGAGGAAGGCTATAGGTTATATATCATTATGCTACTACCCAAGGGAGGGGAGCGGTAATCATAAATGTCAACAACTCGGGCAGACTTCCATACATTATTGTAAAACTGATGTTTATATCGGAAGTTTGAATGCGAACGAAGCCGCAGGTACTGCTATTATTTTATATATTCATTTGATTGTGATAAAATTTTATAAATAAATAAATATAAATAAATACGTTGGCACATTAGCACACATCACCATCTAGTTCCATGGTAAGGTACGAGGCTTGTGTTATGGATACCAGATAGTTGACACTACACATATATAGCTTTAAATACAAATACATATTATACATATATATTAGAAATATAAACACCCATGACTGGAGTACAAACATTCGTGCTCATCACACAAATGAATGCCCCCGGCGGGACTCGAACCCGCGATCGCTGGCACAGTAAGTAGGGACACTACAAACTGAGTCAAACGTGTTGTCATTTTGGTTAGTTATTGTGCACTCGTCTGTGAAGGCTTCATACATAGTCCCGTCAATGTCCTCAAAAGGTGTTGGTAGTTTGAAATTTGTAAACCTTAATATAATTTTAGATATATTATATACATTATATATTTAACTGCCTCGGTGGTGTAGTGGCTAGCATGTACGGCTGCACACCCAGAGGTCCTGGGTTCGAGTCCCGGGTCGGGCCAAGTTTAGTTATTGAGTCTTCCTGTATAGTAAGTCTCAGTAACAGCCAAGAGTTGGGAAGTTGGCGGTGTTGCACCCCCGTGCCTCGGAGAGCACGTAAAGCCGTCGGTCCTGCGCCTTAACTCTCACCGGTCGTGTCGAGTGGTCGTCCCACCGGAGTATGAGAGTGATAGGAATAGAGAGTGCACTTGTGTCTGCGCGTACACTTGAGCACTATAATATTTCCTGCGCAGTTGGCTAATTTCATTGCGATTGGCCGCCGTGGCCGGAATCGGTTAGGAGAACATCATCATCACATATGTATACATAAATATAATATATACATATGTAGCTGAAAGTTATTGAATTTTAATAATTCTACAAATTTAGTTGTGTATTATTTTAGAATTATTGGAAAAACACAATGAACAGTTTTGTATGTAAAATTTTGTTTTACAATTGGAAATGGTTTCCCCGAATAGTTCACAATTAAAGTTTATTCGAGAGCGTATTTTTATAACATTTCTATGGCTCCCGCGCAATTGTCTAAGATTTTTCTATGCATTTTTGAGAATTAAATAACAAACACATGAATACATACAAAACGAAAATTAAGTTTAATTAATGAAAACTTCAAACGATTAAACTCAAAGCGAACCTCCAAAAAGTATAATATCTTCCTAATGACGGACTAATTAGACGACGTGGCGCGACGCGAGCGTCACGACGAGACCATCTGATGTATGAAAAGACAGAGAGACGTCCGTCCGTGCCGCGCGTGGACGAGTCGGCGGAGCGGTCGGGCGACCGGTCGGCGGACAGGTGCCGCTGTCGACTCATTTGTTCTAACATTACTGCGGAATATAATTCCGTCCCCTTTGATCCCTTCATTAGTTACAGCCTCTTTAGCGGGAACACTCCTTTCATTATTTCATACGATATTTGCTCTTGTGACATTTGCATAAGATTGTTATTTCCCAGATTTTAATGATTTCAAGGATAATAAATTGAAACGAAAACGCTGTGATTCATTCTCATACTACGATAAAAAATAGTAGTTTTTTTTGTTATATAGTATTTTTAGATGATAATCTATGTATATAACTTAAAACTAAAAACTTGAATAAATAGTACAAAAAATGAAACAAATAAAAACTTTAAATAAATCCGTCTCCTAGGCACTAGAATGTAAAAAATAACTAAACGGGGGTTTTCATTTAGAATAGATACCTAATCAGATATTTCCGAAGTCCCCAATGTGCAATGTGACGTCATCTATCTTCTGCAAATTACACATCACTCTACGGTGGATGACAGTACTTTTAAAATATTAATATTTAAAATATAACAAACTCATGTCTATGTTAATATTATAAAATTGCAAATAATAAAATATGAAGAAACAATCTGATCTATAAAATATAATGAATAATAATAATCAATTGAGCAACTATAACTAACACTAAATATAATAGTAAGGGAGCCCAAGAGGGGATTTTAGTAGTTACTCAAGCGCGGCAGATTAACATAAAAGAGGTTACCTTGCACTCTATTGAGTACTTTCACCATAATATAAATCTTCTATATAAAGGCGCGCATCTAGGGAAGCCGATCAAAATATTTAAAAAATGTTTTGATAAGGTAGAAATACTTGAAACCGTAAGATTAAGGTGTGGTAGGCTAGTCACATCCTGAAAAGTGTCCAATTCAATAATCTGCCAATTTGCACAAGCCGAAGAGGTAAAAATCGACTATAAAGTTTATGATGATTTTTGCCTCTTCGGCTTGTGCAAATCGGCAGATTATTGAAGTGGACATTTTTCAGGATGTGACTAGCCTACCACACCTTAATCTGACGGTTTCAAGTATTTCTACCTTATCAAAACATTTTTTAAATATTTTGATCGGCTTCCCTAGACGCGCGCCTTTATATAGAAGACTTATATTATGGTAAAAGTACTCAATAGAGTGCAAGGTAACCTCTTTTATGTTAATCTGCCGCGCTTGAGTAACTACAAAAATCCCCTCTTGGGCTCCCCTACTATAAATAAATATAACTAATTAAACTTTATTACCATTGGTACAAGTACGGTAAAAGAACATTTGTTCGAGATCACTTGCGGAAATCTATTGCCTTGCACATACGAGCTACAAATAAATGTTATTAAATTGTTTCACATCTCTCCAGCGGTGTAAAGTTGTCGGAATACTCCACAATAGTGCCGTTTAAGCCCAGAATCCAGATCCATCCCAGACAAATAGTCCCACGGGCTAGCGTTTAATCGAAATATTACGCCCCGAACGGCTTCAACGTTACAAAGCGTTGTGTTTCACAAGAATATGCCATGAAATACGCCGATTAAGTTTTCTGTTTGATTGAATTCAGAAAATGGAATTGTAGGCAAGGAAATATATGGGTTTCTTCTTATATATTTTTTATTTTCGCTGTAAAATAGTGGTTAAATTCTAAACAGATGTCTAACAAAGAATTTTAAATACACATTCTAATACTAATATTATAAATGCCAAAGTTGTGAGGATGTATGTTTGTTTCTCTTTCATGCAAAATCTACAAAATGAATTTTAAAGAAACGTAACAATAAATAGCTAATATATCAGAATAGCACATAACCTACTTTCTATCCCGGAAAAATGTACGGTTCCCGTGGGATAGATTTGTTTTTGTTCTTCTATAATCGAAACTGACCGAAGCTAGGATGAGCCGCTAGTTATTGATAAAATATGGAAAGACAATATTAATAGACGGAGTGTCATAGAACTAAATATAAGGCCAAAATATTTTAAAATAGTATACAATACATAAGTATATTAATAGAATACTCATTACTGTGATTATTAAATAAATTATAAAAATAGCTAACGCATTTTATAATAATAAAAAATAAGCCAATATTATTCTAACCCTATTTTAAGGGGAAGAGAACTAATGATTTAAAAATACAAAGAATAACGTATTATTTTTATTATTCATACCTTATTCTCAAAATTTTTATATTAATTTGACTAATAGATATAAAAAAACCGTATTGATTAAATAAAGTAAACGATCTGTATGGCAAAATCGAGACTGATAGCATTAACATCAAAAGCTACTACTATTTTTGACTTTGACTATTATTGTGACGGACTCCGTCTTTATAATTCTTTAGTCTGAAACGTGTAAATAAGTTTTTACAGGAAAATTATTAATTTAAATCCATTGTCAAATATTCTAAATTATGTATATGTCTAGTACAATCATGAACCATGATAATACTTCTACAAAGCTTATTCTCTAGAAGTAACACCGCCTAATAGAAAAACATATTATTACCGTAGCGAAAATTTTGAATTATATTGCATTAGATATATAAGTTTTATTGGATCGATAATATTGAATCATATAGGTGGTTACCGGTTCTGCGCGGGATGAAAGGCCATTTGTTTTAAGCGACATTTAATCTATACATATAATAAAATTCTAACTAAGCCGAATCTATACATTAAATATTTTTTGGAAAATCTTATTGAAATAGTCATTATTATCGATACAGAGGCCGAATCTATAGTTTTTAATTTTTTGTCTGTCTGTCTGTTACCGCATCACGAGAAAACTACTGGACAGATTTTAATAAAATTGGGTATGGCTGGCTGGTTATCGGGGTCAACATATAGGATATTTTTTACCGCGGGAAAATGTCTCATTTCTGAGAAAAATACAAAAACTGCAATGTAACAGTATATTAATATGTAAAACCTAAGAATTTGCTTTTGATCGGGCGCGGGCAATGCTATTGAACTATTCATACATGGTATTGGAAAGTTGGAAATGTTAAATAGAAACGCAAATGGAAGCTAAACCGTACGTGTAGGTAAGTTGTAAAAAATTTGTAAACTTTTATTGACAGAAATATAGTTTATAACACTTTTATCGGGTGCCGTGTTTCGTGCATCTATTTTTATTCGTAGTCGTAGTCATATTATTTCTTCGTTGTTTGTAAAAAGTAAATTATAAAATAAAATATTGACTTGGCTTTATCAATATAGGATTTTAAGTCATTTATTATATTTTCATCATTTTTAGCCCAAAAAACTTTTGCTCAAAGAATAAGGACCTATTATTATCAAAAACATATTTTTTTGTAACGCTGGAAAATCCTTACGTATTTTATTATATATGCGATATCATCATAATTACTATGCCTTTTTTTATCGTAGTAAAAAAGCAAAGAATCTACTTGATCATGAATAAAAATAGTTTGTAGGCCAGAGGATGACAGAGACTATTTTTAATCGACTATTGGTCTAATCGTTCTCCTTTAGTGTATTTTTTTGCGTAAGCTACTCGAGATCTTCACGTATCTAATGAATAGCCTATATGCCCCAAAGGAGGTCCAATAAAAAGTTTTAAGAGTAAATTTGGGGTGTCGCAATCGGGACTGTGATGCGGGTTGGAATCTTGGGTCTCGCACCTTTGATATTTTCACGCGAATCATTTTCAACATGATTACCATTTGCCTAACGGTAAAGGAAAAATAGTGAGAAAACCTGCACGTCTGAGAGAACCTAACTACATAGTTCTCGAAAGACCAAAGCGAAGACGTCGCCGATCCGCACTTGTCCAGCGCGATGGACAATGGCCTCATCTTAACGCAATCTTCGAGACCTGGAGGGAAGACCGTGACCAGCAGTAAGATCTTGAAAAGAGCGAGATGAGAAATAGAAACTAAATGAATAAAGAGTGTATCGAATATATTGATGTCGCTAGTCTAATAATATGTTTCATTCATCTTTAACCTTTTATGGTAAGTTAGACATTTGCATATTGAATGATTGCTCTAAAATTAAACTGTGCCAGAACGATAGCAATAATTTGAAAAATACATAAAACATTCGCCAATATTCCAACATTTTATATCGCAGCCTAAAAATATCTCGATTGGGTATTTTGAACCGGCTTAAAAATGATTCATTAATCTTTTATGCCACTAACAAATGATCCTTTTGGGAATATTCTATGTATTTCTTCGATGAGTGGCAAAAAATCTCAAAAATCCAGATAGGGGTGAAATATTCACCCTCGACTGTAATATATGATACATCTGAAACTGATATATGGGGAGGCGGGACGGCAATTAGAAACTTTGCGATAAAAGGTGCGAAATGATAAAATTTAACCGTTTTCTCCCAATTTTATTTTAAGCTCAGATTATTTGAAGGAATTATCTTACTTTGGATATTTATTAAGAGTTATTAAAAATGTTGTAATTGAAAGTAAAATATATATTTTTTTATATTATTATTATAAATTCGGAAGTGTATTTTTTTGTGGTCCTTCATTCGCATTAGATTTAATTCATAATGTATATATACTGGAGAAGCTTAAAAGAAGACGATGAAGAAGAACAAGTTTTTAACTAAGTGAAATGAGCGCATTGCGTGTCAAAAGTATATTGTTGGGATTTAAGGTTTTTAGTTGCAATACCTAATTCAATAAAATGATTTTAAAATTGTCTGTTGAGAATGCTTCGTTTGAATTGGTTGGTTGAACCCAAAAATATAACACGAGCTTTCCAATCTACGCACTCTTATATATATAAAGTGGGGGATAACTTAATATTTGCCAATTAAAAAAATACACACGAGTACGAAGCCAGGCTCACTATTAATTCTAAAAGGTTCAACGATATCAAAATTTTGTATTTATTTTCTTCATAGTGGTTGCATTTTCACTTAAAATTTAAAGAAGCCCCATTTGTACGAGATCCGGCTGCAAGATTACTACGTTCATCGCGTATTTAATCAAAATCACTTTTTTTATATACAATAACAAAGGGAAC